CATATAAGAGAAAGTAAATTTTTTTATCCAGATAAAATTTTTTTTAGTGGCCAATGATATATATGAGAAGTTTAATCTGACTTCAAACCTTTTCATCGCACTGAGACAGCACTGTTGAGAGTTTTTAATGATTTAATGGTGACTCAGGAAATCCTGCTATGCTGGATGTTCTTTAGCGCGACTTGGGCAGTTCTGGGGTTCCCCAAGGCTCCATTCTTGGACCTATTCTTTTTCACCTGTATACGCTTTCATTAGGGTCAATTATAAGGAACCAAAATCTTTCTTTTCATTGTTATGCTGATGACGTCCAGATCTACTTTCCTTTAGCATTAAAATCCAACAACCCCATACAGTTAAATCATGGATGACCTCAAACGTTGTGAATCTGAATGAAAGTAAGACAGAAATTACAATGTTTGGTTGTAGTCCAGCAGTTTTTGCTCCTGGCTCCTTGGGCTCTCTTACACCTAACATTTGATCATCAGTAAAAACATCTTGGTGTTTTTGAGGAAGAAGAAGAAGTAGTATTTTTTAATTTTTTTTTAGCCTTTAGAAACTCAGAAGCTGATCAAATATCGGGTTAAATATCGGTGGGGTGGCCGATGTCCGATATTCAGTTTTAAGGCCGATACCGATAGGGGGCCGATTATATCGTGCATCCCTAGTACCTGCCACACAGAGATCTGGAGACTGTAATCCATGCTTTTATTAATACAAGATTAGATTACTGTAATTCCTTATATGCTGGCTTGGACCACTCATTTTTACACCGTCTGCAGTTGGTACAAAATGCAGCTGCCCGTCTCCTTAGTGACACACGTAAACGTGACCACATATCACCCGTTCTAGCCTCATTCAACTGACTCCCGGTTGTTTTTAGAGTTTAAATTTAAAATTTTATTGTTTGTTTTTAAAGCTCTTAATGGTCTAGCCCCCCAGTATTTGACTGAGCTTTTCCAAATCCATGCCGCGGCCAGAACAATGAGATCCTCTAATCAGCTGCTACTGACGATGCC